TGAAACAGTGAAGCTCTTCTTGCATTTAGTAGTCGCATCTGCTCCGTGAGCTCGGCTAACTATTGTGCCATCGCATTATTGCTAGTCCGACCTTGTTCACCATGGTCCTCTTCCTTCTGATTCTCTTCTGAGATGAATTTGCTCATCGTCTCAAACATGTCCATCAACTCCTCAGTTGTCTTTGCCCCGATGTCTCCCATGGCTGCATTGTTCACCATGTACTGCAAGTTTTGGTGGGGAGGGTCGTACAAGCAACTTGCCAAAAGCCCCAGAGAGATATTGTGGTGTGTGAGGCTCACTCGGTAGCTGAGTAAAAGAGACGATCTGGGACTAGATATCTTGGGTCTTCTGGTGGGAATAGCACTTCCCAACGAACTTAGAGTACACCTCTGCCCAAGTGGTGAGAGAATCTGGTGCAAGAGTCATGAACTACGCCTTGGCTCGGTCCTTCAGAGTTTCCAAGAAGCACCGCATATTTAATTGGTCCTCGGTCAGCCCGTGCAAAGAGAGCGTCTGTAGGACGTTGTAAAACTCCCGGATGAAGTGGAGTGGGTCTTCGTTGGGGAGCCCATGGAATGATGGTAACTGGTTGTAATGGACCATTTTCAATTCATAGTTTCGGGCTGCTTGTCCCAACCGGATACAAGATGTTATTGACCCGATCATTGGTTGGGCCAAGTCTCAGAGGAGGTCCCGATGAGGTTGTTGATCAGCCATGTCCAGATTTCTTCCCTCGGATGATTCGGGAGTAAGCTCGCTTTCTTCATGTGATTCGGAGGTAAGCTCTTCCAAAAGCTCTTTCAAGCTCTCGTTAAAGGGTTTGTTGATCGAGGATAGTATACGTCCACTTCTAGGTATGCATACACTCAAACAACAAACAGGTTACGAGCACCAATGATAAACAAGAGAAACAAAGAGAAACACCAAAAACAAGAAATCACAAGAAATAAGAGAAACATGAAAACAAAGTGAATAAGTGCACAAGATAAGTCTAAACCTTCCCGGCGACGGCGCCAAATTTTATGTAGCAAATTATGTTTACCGAGTAGCCAATCAAAATATTCGTTCCCGGGTTGATCTCTCGTGGAAGGTTAGCCGGATTATATTGCACGTTTATTCAATCACAAAAAGAGAAATAAAATTCCTAAACGCCCTAATTCATAAGATTAGTTTTCGATTATTAACTACAAAAATTAAAATAAAGCAAATTTAAATAACAAAGCAAGGCGATAAACAATCAATATCAAAGAAGCTATGGAGTCGAGGATATCCGTTTTGGTTCAAATTGCAATTATCAGGCAAGTGGTCGTTCGGCTAATAATTTGACTAACCTACTATTTAGAGATTCATCCTAAATAACTCTTCGTAACAAGAGGACAAGCGTGAATGGAAAATTAATGATTCATTTAACACCTAGGAAATATAGTTATGAACAAGCCTAGTTTATACAAGCCTATTTCGACCGACTCATCCCCTTTCTGTTCTAAGAGTCGATTAAGATAGACTAGAGGGTGGTTAACCGACTAATCAATTAGAATCACCAGCATCATGCACGAATAAATCAAATTCAATTGAAAACAATTAGAAGTTGAAGTGTCACCCTTCAACAATTCTCAATATTCAAGCTTAATAATTGAAAAACCCTTTTAAAAGATCAACTCGCATAAAGAACAATCAACGAGCACCACGATCACAAACGAATCAAAAAATTAATCCCCTATTCCCTAGCAGTAGAATTTAGCCAATCATAATTGAATCAACACAAGCATTCATCTCAACCTAAGAGTTCATATTCAACGATTAAGTTAAGTGAAAATCTTATGATTGATAAAATACTAAAGTTGAATCCGATAAACAAGCTTCAATCCAAAAGCAATAAAGAAATCCAAGTTCAAATTCGTGTTCTATGTTGAAAAGATGAAGGAAATATATAAAAAAAAAAATGAGGAAAAGATGGGGTAGGGTTTTCTGTGTTCTGGGTGAGATAAGATATTTGATTGAAAGCCTCGATCTCTTATTTATACTAGCAGGGTTTCATAGGCGTGAGAGGGTGCCGCGGGCGCAAAAGGGCCAACTTCGGCGGCATGAAGGCGCTGCCGCGGCGCGGAGAGACAGGCTGTCGTGGTGTGAAGGCGTTGTCGCGGTGCGGAGCTGCTGTCCTGGGTTAGCTTCTTCCAGGCATGGTGTTGTAATGCGACGCGGCTCTGGGTGCGGATAAATAGCAGGTGCTGCGGCGCGGGGATGTCGCGGCGTGGCGTGCGGAAAGCTAGCAGCCTATGTTGGGGTCATGGTGGTTGCACAGTGCGGCGTGCGCGCGGGGGTATGGCTGTCGCGCTGCGGGGCTTGGCACAACGCGGGACCTAAGAAAGCTGGAGGGGCAGCTCGCACGACTTTACGTCTCGGGCTCGTTTGATTTCATCTGGACTCTGAATCTGATTTTGTTTTTTTCTGTATGTCGCCAACGAAACGCTCTATTTAATTATGTAAACTCGGTCCATTTATCGTGGAAAATAAATCCTTTCGAATCTTCCAACCTGCACACCAAAGACGAAGAAAAACTGGAAAACGGCCGAAAAACACAAGAAAGACAAAGATAGAGCAAACCACGAAATAAACTACAAAACGAACTAAAAATCAACTAAAAGACCTTATATGGGGAAAAAAGAAAGGCAAAATGATAATGAAAAACGCAACAAAAATGGACAAAACAGAAGGGTCAAGGTCAATCAGGGACGGACATAAAGGGATCATATTAGGTACGTTCAAGTAGATCATGTATATGACCGAAGATATAGATTTATGTCCAACTAGAGAATATGATATACTTGATCGAGTTTTACTATGAAACCAACAGTTGACTCCATAGTGGAGCCAACCTTCTATATACAACAAGTAAATCATACCATATTAGTAAATTATTAGTATTTATTTAAGTAATCAGAGAATATGGATTAGTATTTATTTAAGTAACGAGGGAATAGGGTATGGTTTACTTGTTGTATATAGAAGGTTGGTTCTACTATGTAGTCAATTGTTGGCTTCATAGCAAAACTATACTCTAATATATTGAGTAGTTATAAAGTAACTCGAGAAAGAAAGATTATCTCTTTATATAAAAAGAGCTTTATAGTTTGATGGTTTGTCTGCCAGGGTTTTCCCAAAGGTCTTAAGTGGAGGACGTGCCAACTTTCTAACCGGTTCATCTCGGTCCCGAGAGGAAATGCTCATCTGGTTCTTTCTGTTTAAAATGAAGTATGTCTTGAGACTCTTGAGTTTTGACACGGCGAATAACAATTCGGTGTTAAATTGCACAGGATAGTCAATTTTTTTACTTACACTTTTGAGAAACCAAACTCTGAGGCAACCATAATTTTAGGAAAAAAAAAAGAAAAAAAAAAGTTCAATGCCAGTACCTTTTACCTTTTTCCTCATGGAGGAGGAATTTCAACCTTTTACTTTTGAATATTTTCACTTGTGTTATCAACCTAGTTGTACACTAGGGGGTCGTTTACTTTGCTTGACAGGATGGGATAAGTATAATTATCCCTTAATATCTAACATTTACATAACGGGATTGGGACAAGATTGAACTGACGTGGCGTACATGTGCCTGCGGGTCCCACAAGCATATCATTCATTCACTGATTATTTCTGTTCGGAGTAGACCCCGAGATTTTTTAATCCCGCCCTGTACTTGACGGTTTTACCCTCAAAATTGGCGACGTAAATACCCTTCAACATCCATTTAATTACAACACCTTACCGTTTAGATATTAACATCAGTTTGCATCTGCAATAAGCCCTCATCTTTGTCGACTTGGTTTCGAAAATGCAGAGGGTGTGGAGCTCATCGTTTCATCGACAATGCACACATGTACAGTACATAGCTGAATGCCTTATGGTCGCCTTCTTCAAGAACCCTAGTTTTTCATATTCGGGATTTGTGTTTCTATAATTCTGTTTCCCCTCTCAATGTTGGTTCGGTTTTTTTTTTTTTTTTTTGAAACTGGAAGTCGATTTTTTTTTTATTTTTTATTAACCGTCACCCTGTGGATTTGCCCAAAATTGACGTCAGTTTTGAATTGGATCAGGGTTCGACAAATTAAGGAATGAATGTTAGGGCTCCAAAAATCGACCCGTCACTCGTCATAGACCTCCTACTTACACCCGACTCCCGACTAGCATTATTATGTGACCTTCGCCGCCGCGGAACTAAGGGTAGAAAACTCTGTGCACGTCGCCTCCTGTGCAATTTGTTGTGGAGTGGATAGTGCAAAAATAAGCTTTGCCGACAATATCTGAAATTTTGGTATTGAAGATGAGGGGGTATAGTAGTCTTTTAATCCACATCAAATAATTTTATTACACCCAAGTAAATGCTTGATAGGGATTTTGTAAACTTGATTTTGTGCTGATGTGTAGAGGTAAATGAGATTATTGTTTCCAATCCCATCCACCCACGCAAATGAGGCCTGGGTTGGCAATTAGTATTTTCCCTTAATTAATTCCAGTTTCTGTACTTTGGTTCCATAAGGAATGGAAAAAAACGTGGACGAGTGAAATGACCATTCTACACCCAAATTTGACAGATTCAAATAAAAACTTAATCCTGCAACGGAATTTTTAGTATTCTGCTTATATGTATGGGTAACTTGGTTAGAAGTAATAAACGTATCAAACTCTAGTATCAAACTCTAGAAAGCGCGTACATCTTCAACACGTTTACTGCCCCTAATTAATTGGAAAAAAAAAAAAAAAAAAGGTTTCAGAGCCATTCACATCGCAGCCTTGTATATTTGGGGTCTGGTGTACATATATATGTATTACCATCTGGAATAGAACTCGATTAGCAACAGTCTCCCCATGATAATAACCTTCGTTCAAATAATAGGAAAGCGAAAGCTGCACGGAATACTTTGAACGAAAAACACCAACTCATTCTTTCTCGCCAGTTAATATGCAATAATGTTAACGGGAAGCAGCTACCGGCTATGCCGTGTTCAAGGCAATGTCTTGTTAAATAGCCCCATAGACTCTGCAACTTCTTTGGATGTATAACGATCAGCTTGCTCCTGCTCATAAGACAGAAACAAGTGTTCAGTGTTTTCATGTCTCAACTAAATCGAAGGACAAGCCCAGTAGACTGCAAACATCCTTTTCTTTTGTTGGCAATATATCCACTCAAAAGTCATCACCATCCAAAAATATCATGCTATTAGATTAGGCTATAAATCAAGCAAACAAAACCCGGGCACAACCAATTGTATTCTAAGCAGATGCGACAGCAGGAAAGCCACTAATTTTCTTAAACAACAGAGCCTTCACATGAAATTCAATCTAATTACCCAAGGCGTAGTGGGACAAATAAAATAGGGAAGAAAGAAAGCAGTTGTGCTTGATGGAGTAGACTTAACGTAACGGTAAGAGGGAAGATTAATAATTTTAGGAAAACTATTTTTTCTTGTAGCAAGACTCGGGATTCTTTCTATAATTTATGACTCAAATTATTCTAAAAGGTAATTCAATTGATGGGATGAACTTAACGAAATGGCACTAAGTCTCACCAAAATAATTTAATAGTTTTTCCTCGATCCACAACTTCAATTTATTTCACGACATGATTTTTAGTTCAAAATATTTCACTGCACATGAAAATAATAGCAATTTTGTTTTCAAACTCAGTCGTCTTTGGAAGATAATACGATCACTATGCTTTCATCCATTTTGTTAGAGTAAGTCACGCGAATCTCCATTACCTGAAGGCGATGCAAGAGGTACATCAAGAAGAGATGCACAAATACCTGTCAAAAATTACCATAGTATCATTAGAAGAACATTTAATTTTCTAAAGCATTCAAGGACCTTAGTACAAGTCTTAAGTAGGCTCGAGTCTAATGTCTTTGCTTCCTTGTAGTTCCATTTATAACAGCACGTAACATTTCTATGCTGGGCACACTCCAGGCACTCAACAGTGGTATTATATCGTCTCTAATCAGCTATGCGTTTCAGAATAAATTTGGACAATCAAGCCACATGGTGCACACCATACTAATCTAATCAAACATTTCTAGTCATTTTTCTTCGAACTTATCAATGCAATACTGCAAAGTATTAGGGCGCACACCAAAATTAGCTATAAGCATGAATTAATAAACAATAGTGATGATTACCCGACCTTGCTCTTGATGTGGTGTATCCTACAATGTCAACCAAAGAAAAGAATAAACTCTATCCGTACTCAGACCTCTAATTTATTTTGAAATGTATAATCTGAAATACAACGGCATAGCTCTATAAGTATGGTTTTCCCACTAGAAGTAAGTAACATACATCGAGTAAAAAAACCACTGTTCTAAATATCAGCCTAGGCGGCCGCCTAGGCGCTAGGTGGTGCCCGGGCGCCTCCGATTTGCACTTTCATTTTAAAGCTAAAGAGCAGCCTGAATGAGCTGGCCCATGCGAGCTATGGGCTTTGGTGGGGAAGGCAGGATTGTGGACTAGCCAGGCTGGGTCTCAGGCCAGCTTGTTTTTCTTAGAGAGAGAGACAGAGAGAGAGAGAGAGAGAGAGAGAGAGAGAGAGAGAGAGAAATTGAACTCTGAAGATTAGAGAAAATTACAAAAATATAAATACAAAAATAATAAATAATAAACAAAGGCTCTCTGTACTCTCAAACCACCAGCCACCGCCCAATGTAGCAAAGACATTGTCGTATGTGCAGTCCTTGCAACAGTCGCACAATCATCAGTTGCACTTCAGCTCCCGTACCCTCAGACCACAGGCTGGCCCATTATGAAATCTCTACCTGTAGGGGTTACTTAACTTACTTTCTAAGGCTATTTCGCTATCTGAGTGAATTATTGTCTTTGCATAACCTTAATTGATTGTGTTTGACAGCTATTAGCTGGGCAGAAATTTTCCTACGGAGAACATGATGTTCTTGTCCTGTTCTTCTGCTCTTCCTCTTGCTTACTCATCCTTGACTATCGGACACCGATTGTGTGAACACAAAATTATTTAGACAACAGTCTAACCATTCATCTTTATAGCATGTATGGTCCAGTTGACAGGTGCAACCTTTACGAAGATGCTAGCTTCAAGGGAAAATCCCTCTTAAAGCTGTACACCAGCAGCCTATTTAACAGTTCTCTAGCCTACTCATCTACGCTCCAACACTGTCACCATCGGGAATATTTTCACATCAGGCAATTCAAGTTGCACTCTCTTGCAATACTGTTCTGGCATCATTTCATGTTAGAAGATTACAACAAAAAATTTCATAAAAAATCTAAATAGATAAAATAATCAAACAACTAAACTCCTGAGTGTTGTTGGTGCTCACCAGATAGAAAAGCAGGATAACCCGGGCACTAGGATACCGCCATAAGAATTTTGTGGCCCTGACGGCCCCAGTATCTATAAGTTTTGCTGCCTTATGCAACTGCAATTGGTCAGCAAACTTAAAGAGTGTTAAGAGGACAGTTCCACACCAGAGAGGGTTTTGACAAATCAGACATGCAAAACATACCTGTAAGCTAGCCCCAACCATGTGCCGATGATGTAAGGGGAGAGGCCTGAAATTATAGAATATGAGACAAAAGAAACAACACACAAGGAGTGAAGAAAGTAACAAATATATGGTTTTAAAGATTACAATTTTGATAGTAGTTTCTCATGCTACTTAAAGATACCAATAAGTCAAATTAGATGGAACTCAACCAAAGTTTCAACAGTGTTCTCACTTCCACATCTCTCATATGTTGTTAATGGCTCACGAAAATGAAAATAGGACTGCTATACTTAGTTGTTAAATATATTTGATTTTGTACAACTCAGGTATAAGAATTTCAACATCATTTTATACTTCAAAATTGCTTCTTATGATTTAAAACAAGAGTGAAATATACCAATTCTTATCAGGTCAAAAGTCATACAAATGGAGAGTCAAGTTTCTCTCAAATAAAAAGATTTTCAAGAAATAGCATAAGCCATAAGCTAGAGATGAAACAACCCATATTTTAATTTACTTAAATATATGCATTTGGACAGATTCCATAAGGATGGGCGTTTCTTAATAAAAAAAGGTTTGCATAAATATGCAATTAATAAGCTCCACAAAAATATGCTCGAGTAGAAAATCAAAAGATAAACAATCCTACTTCGCATGATAACAACAAAATACCGATAATCAATAATCAAAGGTCGGATCACTACAACAAGTCTACAACATCTTGATGAATGCACTACAGAAGTACTTAGAGGATGGAGAACATACTCGAGTCCTTTCATGTCAGTGTCCTCTTCCCAAGATGATGACATTCGACGGGAAGCTCTATTTCTTTCAGCTTCCAACTATTTGGATAAAGAGATAACGTCACGAGAGTGCGACATAGTACGTGAAAAAACAAAATGAAGCGATGATAGATGATAATACACACCGAATTCAGACCTGTGTTTCCTGAAGACGCTTTAATTCCTTTTCCATCTGAAACTCAATTGCAGCTTTCTCACTGGCCATAGTTTCCAGTTGTGTTTGTTTGTAATACTGAAAACCAAATGTAATAGTTGGAACATTAAACAAATTAAGATGTGCACTATCGCATAAGACATAGATATCCATAAGTTTACCAATAAATCAGTTAGCTCGCGATACCGTTTTTCCAGTTCCATGTGTTCCTGCTCAGATACATACAAATCCCACCTTAAATATTGAGTGATAGGTTTACCACAAGAAAAAATAAGGGGGAATTAATAAAACATTCTGTTGCAATATTAAACATGAGAACCTAAAACAATAATCTGACAAAGGAGGAAACAAAATGATCAAGTTAGCCATAAAACGACAAACTTAATACAAGATTCTGCCAACATAGCTCAGTGGAGCCGTGAATCTAGAGCAATACAAATCTCCTTGATTCTCTTTAATATTCTTTTTATTTATCCTTTATCCTGTAGAATTTATTCTCCTTTCTCTAGTTAGAAAATTCGAGTTTCCTGTTATGTAACCGTATCAGTTATCTTATATATTACTCATAATGTATTGCAATATTATTATGATAAAAAAAAAAGTTCATATTTTTCACATAGAAATCTGTCATTGTTAGATAATGCAGAACAATATGATGATTGTCCCGTTTTTCTTGTAAAACTCCAAGCTCCACTGTCTTGTTCTTTAACAACAAATCATTTTTGTTTATGAATAGAATACAATTA